TGGGGTGTCTAAATCTAACAAGTCAATGTTCCACATCCTGTTTTAGTGGGCAGCAACTAAAGTCTTTAAAGTTGTAAGCAGCCATCTAAAATACAAGAATTGGTTTCAGCTTGGCTGGAAAAAAAAGAAGTGAAACAACAAAAATGAACTAAAATAATTACTCCAAATAACTAAGGGAGCACATTGTTGCTGTTGTTGTTGTTAGGTGCCATCAGGTCCACTCCCCTACGACTCACAGCAACATTATAAATAATACATTTGAACATTGCCTTCTTCTTCACCATGCCTACAATCTCTGATATGGTCAAGCCTACTGTTATAGTCACTTTGTCAATCCATCTTGTTGGGGTCTTCAGCTCTTTCTCTTACCCTCCACCTTTCCCAGCCTGTTGTCCTTTCCCAAAGACTGGTACCTCCTGACAACATGCCTGAAGTATGTGAGACAAAGTTAGCTCATCTTTGCCTCTAATGAGCATCCCAGCTGTACTTCCTCTAAGACAAATTTGTTTTTCTTTTGGCAGTCCCCTGAATATTCAGCACTCTTCCCCAATACCACAATTCAAAGGCACTGATTCTTCTTCTTTCCTTCTTATTCAATGTCCAACTTTCAGAGGGATAGCAAGCTACTGAAAAGACCTTAGTCTTTGAACTGTCATCTTTGTTCTTTAACACTCTGAAGAGGTCTTTGACTGCAGATTTTTCTCTGAGCAACATGTCTTTTTTGATTTTCTGACTGCTACTACCACTGAAGTTGATTGTGGATTAATATAAAATGAAATCATTAAAATATTTAATCTTTTCTCATTCTATCAAAATGTTGCCTCTTGATTCAGAGGTGAAGATTTATGTCTTATGTTGACATGTAATCTATACTGAAAGCTGCAGTATTTGACCTTCTGAGCAAGAGTTCCATAGACCATTTGAACTTCAAATTCCCCCAATAATACTAAATAGTGCTGAGGAGAAAGGGAGAGGGAGAGCGGAAGAGAGGGAGAGGGAGGGAGAGGGGGAGCAGGAGTGGGAGGGGGAGGGGAGGGGGGGGGGGGGGGGGTGAGAGGGGTGGGAGGGGGAGGGGAGGGGGAGGAGGAGGGAAAGAGGGAGGGAAGGAGAGAGAAGAGAAATGGAATAAAACTCAAAATATTTAATATTTTTTAAAATGCCAGGCTCACTATTTTAATAGAGACTAAAGCAACCCCAAGTGCATGACTTTTTGTCACCTCTTCAGTTTGGAACAAAATTCAACTCCATGACTCAACCTTCAGTCAAATAATATGTTATATTAAAGTCAAACATATATGCTTTAGAGAAACATAAAATGATCAATAACACCAAAGAGGCACTCGTTCCTTAGAACAATGATAATATAAGGTGAACAGATAAGCATTTACCCAAGAATAATATCCTGAAGGTAGGAAAGGGGGTAAAACAGAAGGATTAAGGGAAATGAGAATTAGAGAAATGAAGTGGAAGTATAATTATCAAAAAATACATATGTATGTTGACTAAAAAAACTCTGTTTTTTAAAATTTTACTAAAATCCTGGTTAAAAATAAAATAGAAAGATAAAATCCTGTCTTTTTTTCTAAAAAAAGATAATGTGATATTTCCCAGAACATGAAAGTGGGGGAATTACAAAATTATTCTGCTCCATTCCCACAGCAAAACTCTCACAATTTTTAATCAAATTATATAGTACTCATAAGGATTTACCTAGATATTAAAATAGGCAACTTCTACAATCTTCAATTCCCTCCCAGAATACTTCTCTGCATTAATTTAGCAATATTTGTTTTCTCTGGATATTGTTTTCAATAAATTCTTAGCTGAGCCCAATGAATGGTCAAATATTGAGTATATTGTAATTAATGTGTGGAACAAAGTAAGTATGAATGACTGCCTGGAAAAACATTATTTGCAAGCTTTAATTCAAATCACAATTTAAAAAACAAAAAGAAACAAGATACTATCTTGTACCCTTTTCCAAATACCTCTCCCTGATTTCTATTTTTCTATTATTTTTTTTAATAAATATCATCTCCTTCATTCTTGCCCTTCTACTACTTTCCAAGGAACTGCAAATTTGTGAAGAGGACCAAAACATGTGCCAATGAGGGTAAGGAGTTGGGAGGGAGAATGGTGCTTTGGAAGCCTGTTGCTGCCTCTCCCACTGCATCCAGTCATTGAGTAACTGCAACTACAAAATGTAAAATGAAATAAGTCAGTAATTGTTGTTTTCATACATAGTTGTCATAATCAGGACAACTACCTGACCAACTGACTGGAAAAGATCAATATTTATTTCCATTTTTTAAAAAAAGTGACGTACAGATTATAGAAATTATCAAACAATACCCCTAATATGACACACAAGCAAAGTCTTGCTGAAGATTATCCAAATAAAACTGAACAGTAAGTGCATCAATAGAGAACCATCAGAAATACAGGCCAGCTTTAGAAAAGACCGTGGTACGAGAGACATTATCACCACTGCCAGATGGATCTTGACTGAAAACAAAGAGTATGAGAACACTGTCTATCTGTGATTCATTGACTATGCAAAGGCATTTAACTGTGTGGATGACATCTAATTGTGGCTAATCTTGAGAAGAATGGGAATCCCAGAATACTAGATTGTGTTTATGTGAAACCTATACTTGGATCAGGAAGCACTCTGTCAGAAAAGAGCAAGGAAATAATGCATGGTTCAAAATTCGGAAAGTAATGCATCAGGGATGCATCCCATCTGCATACTTTTTCAACAGATCATTTGGGAGGCTGGGCTTTATGAGGAGGAATGTGGCATCAAGATTGGAGGAAGACTAATCAACAACCTACAATATGCAGATGGCACAACCTTATTTGCCCAAACTGAGGAGGACCTGAAGTGTTTGCTGCAGAAGGTCAGAGACCGCAGTCTTCAATATAGATTGAAGCTCAACATCAAGAAAACAAAGAGTCTCACAACTGGACCATCATTATAGATAGAGAAGAGATTGATGCTGTTAACAATTTCAGCTTGCTCAGCTTCACAATCAACACTCTTGGCATCAGAAGTCAGGAAATCAAAAGATGAACCGCACTGGCAAAGTCGGCTGTCATGGACCTCTTCAAAGTGCCAAGGAGTAATGATGTCGGTCTAGGGAGTAAGGTGCACCTTATCCAGGCCATAATCTTTGCACTTACTTGCTATGAATCAGAGAGCTGGACAATGACTAAGGATTACAGAAGAACTGATGCCTTTGAGTTGTGGTGCTCGAAAAGAGTACTGAACAAACAATAAATAGCCACGAGAACAAACAGGTGCGTCCTAGAGTGGGTTAAACCAAGTTTCACCTTGGAGCCTAGGATTTTGAAGCTTCATCTCACATACTTTTGGCACGGAGTCAGAAGAGACCAGTCCTTGGAGAGCAATCATATTTGGAAGGGTGACGGACAGCGCAAGACAGGAAGACCCTGGATGAGACTGATTGACAAAATAACTGGGGAAATGGAGTAGGCGTGTTGAAGTCAGTGAGACTGGCTCAGGATAAGGGAGAGTTCAGAGCTATTTTACACAGGGATCGCTATGAGTCATAGGCACGTAACATATGAGAGAGTAGCACATAACAACAACATACATAATCTGACATTAAAGTCTTAAGCAACTAAAAACTACATGGGGAAAAATGAGGAGATTAATGAGGATTTTTGCAGAAAGAGCTAATTAACCTTGGAAATTATCTAGTTCAAACTGTACTGTACAGTTTAAGATTCTCTACAGTTTCAGGAACTTAGCCTAGTGAGAGAAGCTGTGCTGCAATCCCAAAGGCACATAGTTCAAATTCACCAGATGTTCCCCGGGAAAAGGATGGGCAATCTCCTCCTGGGTAATTTACTGCCTCTGGAAACCCACTAACGGGTCAGTTCAGACTCAAAAGCAAACAGTAACAACACAAGAGTGTTGGTCCTAGCACAGGACTTTTCACTAGAGAAGGTAGTGAAAAGAAGAAACTAAGTCAACTGATTCATCAGTTCTATCAATTTCATCATCTGCAGGGTAATCTAGGTTGAATATTTATTTCTATTTTAGTAATTGAAGGCTGTTGCTGTTGTTGTTGTTGCTGCAAATTGCCTTCAAGTCAAGCACGACTCAAAGACATCAGTTCTTCTGTAATCCTTAGTCATTGTCCAGCTCTCTGATTCATAGCAAGTAAGTGCAAAGATCATGGCCTGGATAAGGTGCACCTTACTCCCTAGACCGACATCATTACTCCTTGGCACTTTGAAGAGGTCCATGACAGCCGACTTTGCCAGTGCGGTTCATCTTTTGATTTCCTGACTTCTGATGCCAAGAGTGTTGATTGTGAAGCTGAGCAAGCTGAAATTGTTAACAGCATCAATCTCTTCTCTATCTATAATGATGGTCCAGTTGTGCCTGAAGCCCCTCTATAACTACTGACATTTATTAAAGTTCATAGAGTTTCCAGAGGCATGTTGTTTAGAAAATGGATGTCAATCCTGCTTCCAAAATAAATATTAAAAAGGAGTCACTAACCCTGTGAACAAGTTTCAATTTCTTCTCCTCGGTGTTCCTCCTCACACTGAGGAGGGGAAACTAAATATTCAATATACACATTCAATATACAGATTCTATTCTTAATTCACCAACTTCTTAGCTCTCACTATGATCTTAGATGGACATAACTGATACAAAGAGAGCTCTAATACATGAATTTGAAATGTCATTTTAAAATATATGGGGGTTATAGAACATATAAATGTTATATTAAAAACTTAGAACTGTCAATAATTAAATGTGATAGAAAACTTTAAAGGCTAGTCCAACTTCTGTCAATTACTATGGCTCTAAATATTTACATAACTGTCCAAGGAAACTCAGAAAAGTAATACAATTTCTCCTTCTTCAGAAAGAAAGCTGTCATTATAGGCTGAAGAGGGGAAAATAATAGGGAATTTTTTATTATTAACCAAGTAAAATACTGAATTTTCTGGGTTTATACCTGAAAATCATCAACAAGCTCAGGGAAAAGGTGTTCATACATTTTTAGTTCTTCTAGAGCTCGTCCTGGTTCTTGTTGAGGTTTTAATTTGTTAATATCCGTTTCAATATCTTCATTCTAAAAATCATAAATAGCATGTAATCAGTGTGGAAAACCATAAAAATGACAGAGTAAAAGTTTACTCTTAAAATTTCCCAAATCATTAATGAAATATAATGAAGAGTTTATTATCTTTTAGGTTGTTACGTATATCTCAATTCACAATGGTATTTTACTATGAAGTTAGCTTTCAACAGTGCTAAACTTCAAAACAACTATGAGATATCATCTCATCCCAGTCAGAATAGCAAAATTTAACAGAACAGCAAGCAACAAATGCTGGCGAGGTTGTGGAGAAACTGGAACTCGGATTCACTGTTGGTGGGAGTGTAAAATGGTGCAACCCCTTTGGAAGGCAGTATAGCGCTTTCTCAAAAAGTTGCAAATAGAGATACCATTTGACCTAGCAATTCCACTACTGGGAATATACCCCAAAGAGACCTTAACTGATAACCAAGCAGCTATATGCACACTCATGTTTATTGCAGCTTTGTTCACAATAGCAAGGAGTTGGAAACAACCTAAGTGCCCATCAACAAACGAATGGACAGAGAAGCCGTGGTATATTCACATAATGGAATACTATGCTACACTGAAAAACAAGAAACTCATGCAATATTATTCAAAATGGTTGACTCTGGAGAACATTATGCTGAGTGAAGTATCCCATTCACAAAAGGACAAATATTGCATGGAGCTGTTGTAAAAGAGGACTGACCTTGGGGTTGAGGGGAGACTGAGAAAGATGGGTTCAATAATGTATACTACACTGAAACAGAGGAGGGAGAAAACTGTTTAAAAGGGATATGTGATTAGGTATTTTTGTCATGACAGGAGTCCAGAGCAAAGGC